CCTTCATTCACAAATGAGAGCTTAGCAGGATATAATATTCTGGGCTGGCAATTTTTCTCTCTTAGCACCTGTGCTATGTCTTGCCATTCCCTCCTAGCCTGTAGTGTTTCTGATGAGAAGTCTGCTGTGAGTCTGATTGGAGATCCTCTGAGAGTAATCTGATGTTTCTCTCTTACACATTTTAGGATCTTTTCTTTATGTTTCACTGTGGTAATATTAATTGCCACTTTTCGTGGTGAGGATCTCTTTTGGTCATGTTTATTGGGGGTTCTATGAGCGTACTCTACCAGGATTTCTCTGTCCTTCTCCAAACCTGGGAAATTTTCTGCTAATATCTCACTAAAAAGGCCTTCTAATCCTTTCTCCCTCTCCATGCCTTCAGGAACTCCTAGAACCCGAATGTTGGGTTTTTTAATAGTATCCTGAAGATTCCCGACAATATGTTTTAGATTCCTAATTTCCTCTTCTTTTCCTTGGTCTGACTGTATCCTTTCCTGTTCTCTCTTCTAAGTCCGATATTCTCTCTTCTGCTTCACCCGTTCTGTTTGTAAGGCTCTCTATTGTGTTTTTCATTTGATCTATTGAATTCTTCACTTCATTCACTATCACAGTTTCCTGTTGTATTAGTTGTTTCGTTTCATTTTGATTCCTCCTTAATATTTCATTTTCATCTGAGAGATTTTCTATCTTGTCCATTAATGATATCTGTAGTTCAAGAATTTTTTTTTGAGAACTTCTTAATGTTCTTATCAATTTTTTGAGATCTGCTTCTTGCATTTCTTCTATCTCATCATCTTCATAATCTTGAATTGGGGTGTCTTTTTCATTTGAGGGCGTCATGGTGACTTCCTTGTTTTTATTACCTCGGTTTTTGCGTTTGTTATTTGGCATATTGGAGATATTTGGTTTCTTCACTGTGGTGCTTTTTCTTGTTATACTAAGACTCTAGATTAAGTGGACTGTCTGTTTTTGATGGAGCCTTAGGGCTTGAGATGGGTGTGGCCTGAGAGCTCTGTTTGGTGTGCCAAAGGTGATACTCCCAGGTTAGGCATGGTAGATCTCTCTCTCTCTCTCTTTCTTTTTTTGATTCAAAAGGGAAGTAATTCCACACAGCTGAACAAAGTTGGAGGTAGTTAGCAGGCTAATGATATACCCACAGGAGCCAGAGATTGGAAGCTCTTTCCCGAGGACCACACAGGGAATCTGTTCTGCCCTCAGGGTGGGCTCAGATTCTCCTTCAGTCTCCCACTGGGTTGCCAAAGTTACGGAATTGTAGCATCTCTGGAGAGTACTCATGTGAATTCTGTGGGTTCTCTCCCCCACCGTCTCTTTTTTCACAGTCTCAGTTCAGTAGCACCACAAATTTACTAGGTCCTAATCTCCTGTTAATTCGCCCCACCCAGAGTCAGGTTTTTCTGCTAGGCTCAGGGCCGATGCAGACCTGAGGTCGCTCTGCTTATGACGTAAGTCCAAGATGGCGCCTGCTCTTTGTCTTACTCGCCCTTGAGAGGTGAGCAGAGAGAGAGAAACCTGTGTCCGTACCAGTCACCTTTTTTTTTTTCTCTCTCTCTCTCCCAGTTAGCCTGGTGAACTTTTCCCCCCCAGGTGTTGTTCCCTCTAGTCTCCTCTCCCCACTTGCCTGCCAGTGTCTCGGGCTATTGAGGTTCAGCTCACCTCGCATTCCAGTCTGGTCTGTTAAGTCTGCCACTGGTGTCCCGAACTGTGGGCTCCCACGCTCTCCATGCAGGTCCACTGTGAATCACACGTTCCGGAAGAGTTTCTTCTGCTGTTTCCTCCCCTACTCTTCCTTGAATCTGCAGTATCTCCACTTTTATTAAACTGTCTCTACCCAGACTATCAGTGTGCTGCCTTCCTATTCCACCATCTTTCCTGTACTACATTTTTTATTTCATCTTAAACTATTACCCTTTTTCTGCTTTTTATTGTTTGTATTATTTTCCTATCTATTTCTGTTATTATTTTGAGCTTGGATCAGGAACATATTTTTAGGCTATTAACACCGCTTAAAACCAGGAATGTTGGTTTTAAATTAAAAAAATCTAAGAATTTTTAAAGCACTATTTTCAGAAAGCCTGAAGCCTTCCCCCAAATATACATTGTGTGTGTGTGTGTGTGTGTGTGTGTGTGTCTGCATGTATGTATGTATGCTGATATTTGACTTTTCATTCTAGTTTGAAATGTGTTCCTCTAACAATGGGAAATTGTAAGCAAATCAGTCACTGTAGTAGCCTTCCAGACTAAAATGATTTGATAGTTTCAGTGTGAACCACAGCATTTCAGTGTTTTTTTTTCAGTTTTTTGCCTAAGAGGTAGAAATATTTTCATGTAATTACTACTTATCAAAGTTGCCATTCCAGCATTTAGAATATAATCATAAATCTCTGTTATGTTGTCATTATTCTGACCTTTTTTTACTGGGTTTAATGTTATAAAATAATATGATGATGCTTGCTTTCATTCTTTTTAGGATTTCAAAAGGTAGATTTTGTTTGTCATGTTCTTGTGGTAGCTGATCATCTTCCTTTGTCTTGGTTAAAAGAAATATCAGAATTGGCATTAACTGAAAAGTGCAAATATTTTTAAACTAAAAGATTAGTATGCTTCAGGGATAGCAGTTTTATTGATTTCATGATGTCATCATAGTAAAATATACCATTATTGTTTCAAATACAAAAAATCAAAAGCCTTTCAATGATGGCATGCCACCATTTGCTAGCTCATCCTAATGTCAGAAATATACGAGAAGTACACATCTTAGACTGCAAATATGTTAATTTGTATTGAAATGTCATGAAACCTTGAATGATAATGATGTAGCATTTATGGGGATTTTAAGCATGAACGCATGAAAGTGGAATGTTTTTGCTTGCTCTGAGTTTGGATATAACTCGGGTTTTAATTATCCATGTCCTATTGTTTGCTGGAGTTTATGTGTAATTCTTTCATTAATATATCTCAACAAACCATGCTTTTTTCTCCCAAACTTTTCTCTACTCATCGTTTCAGTTAATTTCATTCCTGTTCTTTATGATCTCTTTTTTCAACTGTTAAAACTGACCCTTGGCAGGCGCCATGGCTCAATAGGCTAATCCGCCACCTTGCGGTGCCGGCACACTGGGTTCTAGTCCCAGTCGGGGCGCCGGATTCTGTCCCAGTTGCCCCTCTTCCAGGCCAGCTCTCTGCTGTGGCCCAGGAGTGCAGTGGAGGATGGCCCAAGTGCTTGGGCCCTGCACCCCATGGGAGACCAGGATAAGCTCCTGGCTCCTGCCTTCGGATCAGCACGGTGCGCCAGCTGCAGCGCGCTGGCTTCGGCAGCCATTGGAGGGTGGACCAACGGCAAAGGAAGACGTTTCTCTCTGTCTTTCTCACTGTCCACTCTGCCTGTCAAAAAAATAAAAAATAAATAAATAAAACTGACCCACCTTTTCTCTGTAGGTCGTATTTCCCCCTTTTATACTCTCAGTGTCACTATGCTAGTTGAGGTAACAATTTTCCATCCCTTTTGTGTGTTGCCACAGTGATTTTTAAATAGTGTTTCTCTCTTCTGATTTCTAAAAAAATTAACTGTCTTCTCTGTTTAGATATTTTTAATCACTTATGTTATATATATATTCTGCCTCCTGCCCGCCCCCTCCAGCCCCTCCTGGTTCCAGGCGCCCCTCCTGTGCTTGTGTCCATGCACGTGAAAGCACGCGTGTCCCTCTCCCCCTTGCTCACGGGTTGGTCTGGTGGCAGGGGCCCTGAGGGAGGTGGAGACACTTAGAGGATGGAAAGCATAGTCTGGGCGTGCAGAAGGCTAACAAGGGAGGCAGAGCTGGCTTTGACCTGTAACGGGGAGGCACGAGCCAGTTCCCGAACGGGCTTCCATTTTCCGTGGCCCCTTGGTCTGTTTATGTGAAACCAGTTCCCGCAGCCCTTGTGGTCTCTCTCTATTGTTACTACTTTGGGGTTACTTTTGTTCTGTCTCTCTCTCCGACTCTCCACGCCAGACCCGCAGTGCTGTGGGGAGGAGCCGTGACTAACCAGGCCGCGGTGAGATGTAGCAGGAATCGCTCCCAGCAAGCCGCGGGGCCGGGGCTGCCGCCGCAGTAATCGCTATGGAGTTAAAGCTTTATTTAGCCTTGATCTGTGCCCCCGCCCCCGTAGTAAGGTCTTGCCATATTTTATTAGTGAGGTTGAGAGATGTATTACTTGTTCGTTGTTCTCGTCCCCTCCCCGAGTATTAAACTGTGAAGTTTGTGATTTGTTTAAACTCTGGGTGAATCGTAGCTTACTTTGCATGTCCAGCTGATTTGTTTCCATACATTTTGTTTGATTATTCTCTCTCTCCTTCTCTCAAGGCTTTTACAAAAAAAATATATATATATATGTGTGTGTGTATATATATGGATCTTCTGAAAAGTTTTTTGAGGTGCAAGTTTTTTTTGTTTGTTTGTTTTTTGTTTTTTGTTTTTTTCTCTCTGATTAATGGACACGATGCTGAGAGTCAATCACTACAGGAGGAAGCGTCTGGCTGTGAGAGCGAAGTCCCCAGGGCGGTCTCGCACGCAGCTCGGTTGCCCATTCAGAAAGATTCGTCAGACGTTCGTCTCTTTCCTCTCCCCTCTCTCTTCAAGAAGGAAGTTGATCCTATTGATTTCAGCCCATGCATTAAACAGGAAACAATAATAAATGTGTAGAATTCATATTTTTCTAAAGGGAACTTAAAAAACTGCTGCTACACGTTATGTACAAAACTGGTTTATGCCACATGAACAGAGAATCACAAGTTTGGTTTTGGTACTTTTTGTTCCTCTTTGTATTCAGTTGTATAGAACTTCCAGATTCAGAATGAAAAGAAAGCTGTTCTGTATCAAACCATCTAAAGCAATAAATGTTATATTTTAAAAACGGAAAAAAAAAGGTTAAAATTCCTTACACTGCCATGAGGTTTTTTTATATTCTAATTTTTGTTTGTTTTTGTTTGTTTTACAGGCAGAGTGGACAGTGTGAGAGAGAGAGACAGACAGAAAGGACTTCCTTTTTGCGGTTGTTTCACCCTCCAACAGCCGCTGCAGCCAGCGCACTGCGGCTGGCGCACCACACTGATCCGAAGCCAGGAGCCAGGTGCTTCTCCTGGTCTCCCATGCAGGTGCAGGGCCCAAGGGCTTGGGTGATCCTCCACTGCACTCCCGGGCCACAGCAGAGAACTGGACTGGAAGAGGTGCAAGCAGGACAGAAATCCAGCTCCTGGACCGGGACTAGATCCCCGTGTGCTGGCACCACAGGTGGAGAATTAGCCTATTGAGCCGCAGTGCCGGCCTTATATTCTAATTTTATATTTGCTCTATTTCATTGTTATTTCAGGAACTGTGAAGGGAGTGCATGGTGATTTTTTCTATTTTTTATTTTCTGGGATTTTTTCTTAGCTCTGGTGTCTTATTGACTCACTTTTCTTGAGCATTGTGGTTATCTTCTCCTTAGTTATCAAAGATAGCAATAGCCCTGATCTCTTTTTAAGCAAGAAAAGAAAAGCATTAAAAGACAGAGCATGTAGTTCACTTGGTCAGATGACTTTCCTGACCTCCTGTGGTTTGTCTTGGTCTTTGCTGTACAATTCTCTTTCCTCATTAATTTCTTCATCTTCCCATTACTCAGCAAAAGAGTGATTCCACAGCCATTTTCCTGTATTGATTGGGACTCAGAGTAAGTAAGACGAAAAGTGGAGGGGTTCAAGAAGCTAATGTTAAATGCTGTGTAGGTAAAAGATTCTGGGAAATTCTCTAAACAAGCAGATTATTCCATATGTTAAGTTACTGGGACTGTAAGTAACTGTAGAATCTTCTGCACAGTATATCAGGTGCTGTACTATCATGATCTGTATGATAAGATGTAAAAGCACTTATTTTCTGTGTGTCTGTATATAAATAAATTCTGATAGCTCAATTAAAATTCACATATTTTACAGAATTACTTCATCCATTTCTTTTAATTTAAAGAAACATCATTTTGGGGGTTGGCGCTGTGGCTCAATGGGTTGACACCCTGGCCTGGAGCACCGACATACCACATAGGCATAGGTTCTAGTCCCAGCTTCTCTTCTTCTGATCCAGCTCTCTGCTGTGGCCTGAGATGGCAGTGGAGGACAGTCCAAGTCCTTAGGCCCCTGTACCCACATGGGAGACCCATAGGAGGCTCCTGTCTCCTGGCTTTGGATTGGCACAGCTCTGGCCATTGTGGTCATCTGGGGAGTGAGCCAACGGATGGAAGACCTCTCTCTCTGTCTCTACCTCTCTCTGTGTCCCTGTCTTTCAAATAAATAGAATAAATCTTAAAAGAAAGAGAAATATCATTTTCACTTTTATGGAAAGGGGAATAACTGCTGTACAATGAAAAGGAAATTCCCTCATCAATAAAACTTAAAAATATTCAGAAATCATTTACTGGAATATAGTATGTTCTTATGTGTTTGATTATAGATGACACAAATACACTATCTATATTCTGTTTTGGTTAAAATTTCTGCATGTGTGACTTCATTTTTTCCTTATAACCCCAATTCTTTTAGTATCATAAGATGGAAAATGAGTTCTATATAGGCCCCAATATAGGTTATTATTGGCAAGGACTTGTTTAGTTTTCCTGCTCTAAATATTCAAATGTTATAACTTTAGAAAGAAATATATTTATTTACTATACTAATGCCTTTCTAAAAATTTTGTAAATCTCTATCTTCCTTTGTATATACTGATAATACTTCTGTTACGCTGCTGGAATTTACAGTTGTGTGTAATGCTGAAGAACTGAAACTGTCTTGTTCACAGCTTACAGGACTGAGCATGGCAACTTTACTGGAAGCAAGGTATATACCCTACATACATTATATGACTCTTGCAAAAGCATATATTGATACATAAAAGTCAAGTAAGTGTAAATTATGATGCTTTCTTAGGTGAAAAGAAGTCAATAAATGCTAATGATTTAAGAGTCACAGGCATTTAGAATTAGAGGGATCTTATAATACAGCAATACACAATTCTTCTTAAGTGCTGAAACTTAACTGAAAAGTGATCGCTGTTAAATATAAGAGTGGGAATAAGAGAGGAAAGAGATGTGCAATTCGGGACATGCTCAAGCTGACTTACCTCAAACAGTAGAGTTAGAAACATACCGGGGATTCGAATTCAATCCCATCAAGGTGGCATGTACCAATGCCATCTCACTAGTCCCACTGATCAATTTCTGTTCACAATTGATCATAATGATAGGACTAAGAACCAAAGGGATCACATAAACAAGAATAGTGTCTGCAAATACTAGCTGATAGAATCAAAAAGGGAGAGAATGGTCCAACATGGGAAGTGAGATACACAGCAGACCCATAGAATGGCAAATGTCCTAACAGCACTCTGGCCTCAGAATCAGCCCTTAAGGCATGCGGATCCGGCTGAAATGCCTATGAGAGTATTTCAGGCATGGAAAGCTAAGACACTCTGGGGGAAAAAAAAACCTAAATGAAAGATCTCCGTGAGTGAGATCCCAGTGGAAAGAATGGGTCATCAAAGAAGGAGGTACCTTTCTCTGAAGGGAGGAGAGAACTTCCACTTTGACCATGGCCTTGTCTAAATATGATCAGAGTCAGTGAACTCAGGGGGCTTCCATAGCCTTGGCAGCTCATGACAAGAGCCTAGGGTGATTACTGATGCCATAAACAAGAGTGTCAATTTGTTAAGTCAACAACAGGAGTCACTGTGCACTTACTCCTCATGTAGGATCTTTGTCCTTAGTGTACTGTACATTGTGATTTAATGCTATAACTAGTACTCAAACAGTATTTTTCACTTTATGTTTCTGTGTGGGAGTAAACTGTTGAAATCTTTACTTAATGTATGCTAAACTGATCTTCTGTATATAAAGAGAATCGAAAATGAATCTTGATGTGAATGGAAGGGGAGAGGGATTGGATAAGGGGAGGGTTGCGGTTTGGAGGGACGTTATGGGGGGGAAGCCATTGTCATCCATATTCTGTACTTTGGAAATTTATATTCATCAAATAAAAGTTAAAAAAGAAAACAAAACAAAACAAAAAATAATAACATTTATACATTTATTTTTAATATGAGGTCAAAATATTTTATTGAGTATAAAGTTAATGGTAAGAAAATTTAGAGTATTTTCATGAACATATAAATTTCATATTAGACTTCTTAATGTCAGTTTGCATTTTAAAGCTTATTGCCTAGTTTATTTCTATAAATAATGTACTTGGTCCCCTGTGCACAGAAGAAGCTGCTGGCTCCTAGCTTCAGACAGGCCCAGCTCTGTCCATTGAAGCTATTTGGGTAATGAACCAGTAGATGGAGTCTCTCTCTCTCTCTCTCTCTAATAAAATTAAAAATAAAAAGTTTTATTCTATCTATTTGAATAGCAGAATGATGGGAAGGGAGGAAGGGAGAGAGAAAAACTGATCATCCATCATCCACCCATCCTCAAATGGCTGCAACAATTAGGTTGAGCCAGACTGAAAGCAGGAGCCAGAAACTCAATGATCTGGGTCACCCATGGGGTGATAGGAGCAAAAGTATTTAAGTCATTTTCCACTGCTTCCCCAGGCACATTAGCAGGGAGCTGGAATAGAAGTGGAGTAGCTGAGACTTAGAGGTAGTAGCTCACCACACCAGTACCACAGCACTGATCTCATTTTCCTTAGAGATTTATTTAGTTGAAAGGAGGCTGACAGAGAGAAGGAGAGACAGAGTGAGAACTAACATTCTTAATCATTTCCAGGGTTCAATATAAAGAAAATTATTTGCAGTTTGGAGCTGACATTGTGGCTCAACATGTTCAACCACTGCCTGTGATGCCAGCACCACATAAACATGCCAATTAATTTGGTTACTTACTTGGCAGTATAAAATATCTGAATATTTGAAAATTTTGAATTGTATTAATTCAATTGGGTTTTAAGATAAGATGTTATATCATATTTTAGGTCTTATAATGTTGTAAGTGATGATATTTTAAAGGCTTTTTCTGTGTTCTATCAATAATGATAATGGTTTGTTTTTTACAGTGACCATAGGATTACCATTTAAGGCAGTATTAGGTAAGAATACTCAACAGAATAATTTCCCAATGAATTATAGTATATTAGGATATTTTTAAATTGAAAAAATAGGATTTCTTTCAGAGCTCATACATAAGTTATATTCAATATTGAAGATATTTACACTTTTATCACTTTGATTTAATTATTTGGCAAACTAAGTGATAATAATTATATACTATTACAGCTTTTTTAAATTGAAGACATTTAATGATGAAATAATATTTGTTTTAATTTCCGTACTCAAAATCTCAGAGAAAGTATTTCATTATTTATCAAATTCAGGAAAGTGTCATACCTAATATGGAAAAATTAGTGTGTAATAAAATGGAGCTTTTCTCATGTTTTCTTGGAAGTCTCATAGAAAAACTTTTAATTACATCGATCAAAATTTTCTCAGCTTTGTAAATTCTGGAAATCATTATGCTGTTCCTACTTAATATTACCATACATTAGAACCAATGGGATATTTAACTATTTTTTAAAAATAAAATTGAGGAGCTGGCATTTGGTATAGCTAGTTAAGCCACCACCTGCAATGCCATCATCCTATATGGATGCTGGTTTGTGCCTCTGCTGCCCCACTTCTGATCCAGATCCCTGACAATGCATCTAGAAAGTAGCAGAAGATGACCCAAGTTCATGGGACCCTGCCACCCATGTGGCACCCAGAAGTTCCTGGCTCTTAGCTTAAGCCTGGCCCAGCCTTGGGTGTTACAGTCATCTAGGAAGTGAATCAGCAGATGGGAGCATGCTCTCTCTCTCTTTTCCTTCTCCGTCTTCTCCTTCTGTAACTCTGCCTTTCAAATAAATAAATCTTTAAACCTAAAGAAAAGAAAAATACTTTTTGCAAGTTTTCTTAAATGGCATATTTAATTATAAAGATTCCAGCAATGGATAGAAAAATCATTATATCATAACAAGTCGTGCCAAATATACATATTTGGAAGCATAAGATGTAGGTATATTTTTGAAAGAATAAATAAATATGGAACAAATTATTCAAAGACTCTGTTTTCTTTCTTTTTTCTGTTTTCTTTCCTCTTCTTTACCCAGCCTCCATCTTTGAAGCCTGACACCATTTTACTGATGCTGGAAGAAGAAATGGGAAATTTCTAACAGAAGTCTGTATTTAATGTCATTAGCTTTGGTAGAACACTACTAAATATATAATTAATATTTTAAGTTATAACAATTGTAAAACATAAAAATAAAAATACTATACCCTTAGGTTAAATGAATTGGGATAAATAAGTGCATTTCCTCTAGCTACCTCCCCTATACCTGTAGAGATTAGCATTAGGACATTTAAGAAGCCATATTGTGCTGGAGCAGAGAGAAGAGGAAAGAAACAAACAGAAGTCAGGAGATGTTAATAGTTTTGGATGTTGGGAGGAACAGCTAAACAGAATTCTATAATCAATTTAGAATGTTTGATCCAAATTTGTGAGGGCTGTGGTGAGTGCTTGGATTTAAGGAGCATAAACTCTTATTCCTTTCAACAACCTTATTCAACAACATGATTGCTGATTCTTCATTCTAACAGAAGATTTAGAGATTTGCTCTCAGGAGAGATAGACAAAGAAAGTCCTCATAGAGGACTGCACTATCAAAGATGAGACACTATTTTCAACACATTTATCTCCAGAGAATTGGTTTAAATAGATGATGTGACCTATACTGACTGATGTTTGGACATCCTCCAACAACGGATCTCAGGTTCTACATAGTCCCCTACAGTGGGTTAGCCATATACATAGAATTTATAAACAGGTTTGTGTGTGTGTGTGTGTGTGTGTGTTCACTTTTAACTGTTTACAGAATCCCTTTCCCTTTCTGCTTGGAAAATAACCTATTAAAGTGAAATTTGGGCATTAACCTTATTTACTATGTCTAGTCAACTCTGCAAAAGTGCTCTGGAGATCCAGAGGTGTTCTTTTTTATAATTCCCTTTCTAGTATTTTCACCATTTGAAATTTATAGATATCCAACTATAATGAGATCATTTTCAGGTAGAATCACATAGTTGTGCTCCTTATAGATGTTTTATTTTCTCTTTCTATTTAATAGTACTTAATTCTGGAAATTAAGCATTATCTGAAATGCTTTCAAAATTGGCAGCAATATTTCTTGCTCAAGATCATAGTTCATAATAGTATGTGTGTAGATATTTGTAATATTTTACTATTCTAACTAGTTTCCTACTTGTTTGCTACTTTCATAGAAGTTAGGATTAGAAGAATAGCATCTAACTGAGAAGTAGTGAATTTAAGTAATTTGCTTCATGTTATGTGCATAAATATGATTGCATTGTACATTAATTTCTATGGCCTCTGTTTTATCAAAGCGCTGTATTCTATTTACTAAAATTTGTAGTTATTCTCTTGTTTCAAAAAAATCACCTTATGTTTGTTTTTACCTACGGAAACTATGCTTAAGAATAAAAAACAATAATTTACATAAACATTTAGATAGTTCTGTAGCTTATTTCCTTTCAGATATTTTTCATAGTCTACCATGTAAGGTTTAAGGTTTAGTTGAAAGTGTTTTATTGTGTATTTGCAGTTCTAATCCTTGATATCTCGATTCTTTATATGATTTATTTAACATGCCTTAATTACTGCCATATGCCATCTGCTGAGGCCACTGAGCAAGAAAATAATCCTCTTGGAGGCTTCAAAACTGATGGTATCTTATGATAAGTACTCAAACATCTTTTTGCTCTTAGAGTACAAAAGAGTCACCCTAACTAGTCTCCGGTCAGGAAAGGCTTCTTAGAAGAAAGTAATGTCTAGACTGGTCTTTAAGAATGAAGTGCAATTCACTAAGAAAAAGATGGACACACTGTGCAAAGTGGGCCATATAGTCCCACACCTCAGGACAGCAGAATGAAGTACACAATCCATGTACATACGGTTCAGCATAGCTCAAGCCACATAGTTCTATGAAAATAGGAGATAGATTAGAAAGAGTAAGATATTAGAGGATCTAGTATGCCAAACTCAGGAGTTTGTATTTTAATCTAAATGCTGTTGATGGAATTGTAAAGCAGTATGTGACTGGATAAGATTTACCTTTTAAGAAAGAGCTCTCTGCAGTGGCATTGAAGGTTGGAGACTGAAGGTGGGCAAATCATGCCAGAGATCTTGTGATTACCTTAATCCCATGCTATAAGCAAGGTGCTGTTTGTGTGTGTGAGGAAGTTATAATCTGACAGAAGAATACAATGCATTTTATATCTAGGCATTGTGTGAACTTATTTAAAATAAATATTATGTAATTATTTTTAAAATATATTTCCAAAATAATGGAAAATGGTCCATGTCTCTGGGCCCCTGCTACCCCTGTGGGAGACCCATAAGAATCTTTTGGATGCTAGCTTCAGCCTGTCCCAGTCTCAGATATGTAGCCATCTGGGAAGTGAAACAATAGATGGAAGATCTCTGTGTGTCTCTTCTTTCTCTCTGTAGCTCTTTCTGTCTCATAAATAAATAAATCCTGGGGCCGGCACTGTAGCACAGTGGGTTAAAGTCCTGGCCTGAAGTGCCAGCATCCCATATAGGTGCCCATTGTAGTCCTGGCTGCTCCTCTTCCAATCCAGCTCTGTGCTATTGCCTGGGAAAGCAATAGAAGATGGCCCAAGTGCTTGGGCCCCTGTACCCACATGGGAGATCTGGAAGAAGCTCCTGGCTCCTGGCTTTGGATCGGCACAGCTCTAGCCATTGTGGCCATCTGGAGAGTGAACCAGCAGATGTACAACCTCTGTCTCTATTTTTCTCTGTGACTCTGTCTTTCAAGTAAATAAAATAAATCTTTAAAAAAAGAGCAAATAAATAAATCTTTAAAAATAAAAGTGTTAAAAACCTGTTCCAAATCTTTCATAAAAGTAAGATTTCATTCCTTTTTTATTGCTGATTAGTATTCCATTATGTATATATACAATACTTTGTTTATCCAGCATTGGTTGATTCCATAACTAAGCTATTGTGAATTGAGCCGAAATAAACTTTTGGGTACACATAAATTTTTCCATATGCTGATTTCATTTCATTTGGATAAATTCCGATAAGTGGGATTGCTAGTCATATAGTAGATCTATTTTCAGATTCTGAGGAATCTCCATAGTGTCTTCCACAATGTCCATACTAGTTTATGTTCCCAAAAATTGTATATTAGGGAACATTTTCCCAACATCCTAACCAGCATTTGTGTTTTGTTGATTTCTATGTGGTTGCTATTCTAGCTGGGATGAGGGGATTTTCATTCTGGTTTTTAATTCACGTTTCCATGATGGCTAGTGATTCTGAGCATTTTTTCAAGTATTTGTTGGCCATTTGAATTTTATCTTTAAAAAAAAAAAGCCTATTCAAGTCCTTTGCACATTTATTAACTGGTTTCTTTGTTTTGTTGTTGAGTTACTTGAAATTAAGATGATTCTGGCCTCATAGGAGTTGGGGAGGATTCCCTCCCTTTCAGTTGTTTTGAATAGTTTGAGCAGAATACAATTAATTCTTTAGAAGTCTGGTAGAATTGAACAGTGAAGTCATTTGGTGCTGGGCTTTTCTTGTTGGGAGGGTTTTTATTACTGATTCAGTCTTCATCTTGGTTTTTGGTCTGCTTAGCTTTTCTATGCCTTTATGTCTCAGTTTGGGTAGATGGTATGTTTCCAGACAGCTATCCATTTCTTCCAGATTTTCCAGTTTGTTGGCATATTTTGTGTTAGTCATTTCTGTGGACTCTTATGGAACTATAGGCATCTGCCTATGAAAGAAGCTACACAAGAATAAACGATGTAAAATATTGTGACACTATATACACCTTTTAAAAAAATGTTGATTGGAAAAGCAGACTTGCAGAGATAGGAGAGACAGAGACAGACAGAAGAGAGATCTCCCATTAAGTGGTTCAATCCCCAAATTACTACAATGGTCAGGGTTCAGGCAGGCTGAAGCGAGGAGCCATGAGTTTGTCCTGGGTCTCCTATATGGGAGGAAGGGGCTGAAGCACTTGGGGCATCATTTCCAGGCACATTAGTAGGGAGTTGGATTGGAATTGGAACAGATAGAACACAAACAGGCAGCTATATGGGATGCCAACATGTCAGGTGGCACTTTAAGCCATTATGGCATAGTGTCAGCCTCACTATATACAAATATTAAATAAAATTTATTTATAGAGCAATTACTGAAATACGTTATATGAAAATCCAGTTGTACACTAGATAAAAATTGGCAATGCAAAATGATTTTGATCAAAAATAATTTTAAAATCTATATAGTCTCTTTCCACCACAGTATTTTTTTTGACAGGCAGAGTTAGACAGTGAGAGACAGAGAGAAAGGTCTTCCTTCCATTGGTTCAGCCCCCAAATGGCTGCTACCAAATGAGCCAAACTGAAGCCAGGAGCCAGGTGCTTCTTCCTGGTCTCCCATGTGGGAGCAGGGCCCAAGCACTTGGGCATCCTCCACTGCCTTTCCAGGCCACAGCAGAGAGCTGGACTACAAGAGGAGCCACCAGGACAGAACTGGCACCCCAACCAGGACTAGCACCTGGAGTACCGGTGCCACAGGCAGAGGATTAGCCTAGTGAGCCATGGCACCAGCCTCCACAGTATTTTTAGTTGGAGTAAGATAACCTGGAATGACTGAATTTTTTTCCCTTATCTAGCAAAATTGACATTAAACTGCAAGGTTTCTGATCTGGTCAGCTCTTGCATTGCATTTTGTACATATCCCTTAACATTTTATTCCATAATTGTTCACCCGTAAAGGATAGAACATGTCTAACTTAAGAGACAGGTAATAATGCATTTTTTCTCTGCCCTAGCATATCTTTTTGATATATTGGAACTATTAGAAATTCATGAAACAATAGAAATATTTTCTTCCTTCTTAGAATCATCTAAATTTCAAGATTTTTTTTTAAACTTCAGGTAAAAGTTTGGGATAATTCTTATTCACAGAGGTTGGTACAGGAGATAATTGAGATTTAAAGGAAGATTGAAGGCATATGGTAATTATCTTGCAATAATAAAGGAATTATCCTGACTTTGAAAATACCATTCTAATAACTTCCTTGATTTATTATAATAGCTTTAGCTTTAAGTTATCTGCTGATGTGCTAGTATTATTTAATTTTATTCAAAGTACTTTAATTATAGACACAGTAAATTAAATGACTTATACAAAGGTTCCATTTTATTTTATACTAAAGTCATGGACATTGGTTTTTAAATTATTGCTTCCTATCTTAATTATACAACTTTTATTCATGATATCTTGGTTTACTATTTGGATAAATAGAAATGTAAAATATGAAGCTCACAATGATCAACTTACAGTCAATGATTTGGGCTTGAGAACTGATTAAGACAGAAACTATAGAAGAATGTGAATTGAGAATGCTCGAT